TGTGTGGATTAACCAGCAGATTTGCCCCTGTGTGATAACATCCATAGCTGTGTTAGTCTAGATCTAGAATATCAATATGCAAAGGGATCGATCTTCTGGTGTCTTTGAGACCAACTGTTAGTCTCAGAGGTGTTACAAGATCCCTTTGCATGAGTAATGGTTTCAATTCAAGAAGGAAATACAGGAAAGTGAGATTTCATGAACAACATGACTAGTCATCTATTTATTCCTTATTTTATTTATTAAAATGTTAAAATATTTCTTGCCTTTTGTCAGCTGGGGTTCTTATGACCACTCTTTTAAATACTTTGGTCATGGTTCTAATAGTGACACAGTTTAAATTTTAGTCGGCAGGATTGTCTGCACTTATATTTCAAATGACTGAAGATCTTTTCTGAAAGCTCAGTTGAATCAAGTCAAAACTATATATGACTGAATGGAACTTCCTCCCAAATAGCAATTCATGGGATGACAGCTGTGCTGATCCTAATAAATTAGATAGGAATTTCATTAGGGATAATGTTATGTATTGCTACTTTGTGGCTGGTGTGTGTGGATATGGGTACGTACATTTTTGGAGTAGGCAACTCCAAATTTACACCCCCCGTATTTTCAGCCCAAAATGCAACATGAAAGTGACTTCTGGTTTGGGGTTTTCCCAGCTGATTTTAGGGCAGCTTTTAGCAATCTAATTAAATCTGAGCAGCTGTGAGGATTGTTAGGTTGTTTTGAAGCATAATGCTATTCCAGGTGGTGTTTTAGAATATTTTACCTAACTGCTTTTAAAATATGGGGACAGGGGCTTTCTAAGCCTTCTAAAAGGGTCTAGGGCATATGCAAGCAGCATTTTTCCTATTCCTAGTATAGATAGATATAGATGTAGAGATAGTTAGAGAGACAGAAAGGGCTGTGTGAATCTCTCCTGCATTGCAAGATTAATTTCTCCTCCACTGTGTAGTTATAATGGGCACAATTGTATATTTCAGCACATGGCTCCACATTTATTACATTTGAAGGCCAGAAGGAAACTGAACTCACATTTCCAAGAGATAGCTTTTCTGATCCAGTTAATTACCTTAAACAAGAAGTCTGGCCACTATTAAAGTCCCACAGTGAAGAATTTACCAGCTTTGTCCCCCTATTTACAATACCTTTTGACTGAGATGTCTAAGACCTTTTAGCATAAGGTTTAAGCAGCGGACAGCTAGCTCTGACACTTCTTAGAAATCTTTTCATGGGGCCATGGGGCCGAGTTCTAATCCGGGAAGAGCCACTGCCTCTCTGTGTGATCTGACACAGTGACATATCACTTGACCTTAGTCACACAGCAGCTGTAGCCCTGGGTTAGGAAGTCAGTCCTTAATAGAAAAGCAGACGATGCTAACTGTCCTCCTTTCCCTGTTAATAAATGACACATGCTGTTTCTTTTCCCTTCCCTCCACGGTCTGAGGAAATGCATGTAATACATTCCTTTTGAGTAATTTGTTCCAATTCGATATACACATTCACTGGGAGAAACAAAAACTGTTGCACTGATTCTTTAAGCATCTAAAAATAGAATTCAACATGGTTTAATTTATACATTTAACTATGTCAATGTATTGCCTTTGTTTCAGGGGGGTTTTTTTTGTGTTGGGAAGCAGGGAGAGAAAGGGATAGTTTAAACAGATAGAGCTAAGGCTCTGTGCAATTCAAAGGATGTGGTTTGGATCTGGTGTAATAGCTCCATTGACAAAAAGAAGCATAATTTTGACAGGGGAAACTAAAATAGCAAATTTGAAACCATATGACTAAGTGATAAAGAAATGGGGAGAAGTGAATTTTTCATCTAAGACTGCAGGGGGTGCAATGTCTCCTCTTTCAACCCCTGAACACTGCATTTGTCTCTGCTGGCAAATCTAATGTCCGTAAATTTAACATTAAATCAAATTAATATTGTACCAGAATATGGCATGTTTTGTGTGTTATCCGTCAGAGATAGACAAATCGTTAAATGAAATGGAATGGCAAATTTATGTGCATGTTAATTAAATTTATTGCTGTTGTTGCACACTGTCAAGTTGTTTCTGCACTTAAGGCAACTTTAAGGCAAACCTATCATAGGGTTTTCTTGGCAGGTTTCTTCAGAGGGGGTTTACCATGGCCATCCTCTGAGGCTGAGAGAGTGTGATTTGCTCATGGTTACCCAGGGGGTTTCCATGGCCAAGCTGGGATTTGAACCCTGGTCTTTCAGTTTCCTAGCCCAACGCCCAAACCATTACCCCACTCTGACCCTTAATTAAATTTAGCCAAATATATATTTAGTCACAAACAATAAAACATCTCCCCCCTACAGAAATGAACTATTCTTCATTGTTGGTGGAAAATCATTTTAATTGCCTCGGGTATCCTGCCTACTTATAACCTTGTTTACTGAAATGTTAAATCCTGTAACAGTCCAATGGAGATTGCACCCAACTAAGAATGCGTACATTAGCCCATATGAGATTCCCCCCCCTGCATAAATGGATACCTCAGCTCTTTTTCAGTTTATTTATTTATTTCCTTTCAAGCCTTCCTTGATAAGAACAGGGTGTAAAGTACATATAAAAGACTTTTGAGCAATATGGCACGTTTCCGATAGCTGTTTCTTAGGGAGTAATTTGAGCTCTAGTAACTTCTGCCTGCCAAATCGCTCTCCAGATATAGCGGATCTATTAAAAAGTACAGCTGTTAAGAACTGGTCTTCTTTCATGCCAAAATCATTTGACCTTAACATGAGCAAACATTTAGATACTGACTAGCATTAAGTCTGAGCATAGCCTGTCAAAAGGAATCCCTGTAGCCAGGGATCTCGTTTTAAATGCCATGTTATTTTTTTAAAAATTAGTTATAACCTTCTGTGCAAGGAGATAGAACTCAGTTTCAAAGAGATACATTGGATTCTGATGAATCATTTGGTCTGTATGTGTAACAGCTCAATTTTTAAAAGAAAAAATGGTCACAATGTACTGGGTAAAAGGTGAGTTAGCTTGGGATGGAAGGGATTTAGGGTATGTGAATTCCCTCGTCTAGCCACTCTCCATCTAGTTTAGGATTGGGGATTGCAGCTCCTATTATCCACATCAATAACTATGCTGGCTAGGGATGATGACAATTGCAGCCTGGCAAAGTCTTCAAGGCTACACTTTCCCTATATTTGGTTTAGCACTTTAGCTCAGTGTCATCTCTGCAACACCTGGTAGCCACTCTGTGCCAGGGAGGGCCAAAGTGCAACCCATGGGCACATGAGGCTCACACTGACCCTCAAGCCAGCTCCAATATTCCTGCCCTAGTTTCCTCCCAAATTTATTTCCTCAAGGGCAAATTGTGCTAGAAACATGGGGGTGCAATTTCCCCCTTTAATATAATATAATATATTCCCCTGGATATTTTGAGAGGGGAGGGCAGAAAAAGGTCTTTGGGTTTATTTGGAAAGTGTCAATTTCTGCTCCTTAATAAAATAATTTTCTGCTCCCTAAAAGGCTGGTGGGGGCAAAATTAAAGAACAAATAATGCTCCCCAATTCCTAGGGATGTGATTTTGCTTTTTGAGGACTAATTTTATCCCCCCTCTCCCTCAGGTTTCAGAGGACAGGGTGCTTCAGGACCCTCAGAAGTTGCTGGTCTTTCTCAGCCCATCTCTACCTGATGTTGCCAGGAAATAAACTGTCCTTGTGACCATTTTTCATGCAAGGCATGAGCTCAGCTACTGAACTACGGCTTGTTTTCTGGATCCTTTTCTGCCTGTGAAGGATTTTCACATGGCAAGGAAGTATACTAGACATTAAAGCATGATGGAAAGAGTCACTGCGTGGAAATGTCTTGGTACGAGAATTAAGATGACAAGGGGAGGACATGTTTGTGTGAGAAAGGGATGCAGTGGATGTGAAGATAATGTGTGTCTTTATGTGTATGGCAGAAAGGAGATGCTATGTCTGTATGTCACTTTCTGTGTGTGTGTGAGAAAGAGAGAGAAAGTAGATGTATATGTGAAAGAAGAGGAGGGCTGTTTCCATGCTTTTTGGTATATGAGAGCGGAGATGAACAGAGCTTGGAACTTTAATACTTTCAAAGAAACACAAAGACATTACAGTATTCATTTTTCAAAGCAACACTTCTTCCTTATTATTTTAAGACTAACATATTAGCAATATGCTAATTAATGCAATATTTTAATCTATTCTTGTATAAACAGAAAAAATGTCAAAAACAGCCTTAAACACATCCTTTACACACATTTCTGAAAAATGAATACATGTTACTTGTTATACTAAACTAATGATTACTAGCCATCCATTATTTGCAAAAAATATTGTTATTGCGTTTTTCCAAGTTACGAGTGCAAACCAACTAGTGTACTACCTCCTGGCACTGTTTTATTGAAAATGAAAGCTAAGGTAAAGAAGTCATGTATTTGTCAAAATTCTGACCAGCAGAAAAGTATCTGCTCCCTTTTGACCAGGAACAGTCTCAATTTTCTGATCTCTATCTACTCTTCCAGGCTATATGTGCACAGACAGGTTCTGGACATATGTGTTAAAACTGTGTAAAAATACACATACACATGCAAGTACACCTTGGCTGCCACCCTTCAGGTCTCGCATCTACCCACAAACACACTTGAAATGAAAATCTTAATCCTAACAATAGAAATCTCAATCCTGACACAAATCTTCATCCTAAATCTCAGATTGAATGATTGTCTTCTTTTTCACTGCTGACCAATTGTTGTTCATAAGTATGCCCCAACACCATAGCATTTCTGGAAATTAAGTTCATCATCACGTTTGACAATTTACTTCAGGTTTCTTAAAAGCTTAGGAAAAAACAGAAAATGCTAAAAAATTTACCATACTTCATTCAGTCCACTTCCTTGGTTCCTCATTTAGGTAGGAAGACTTTCATTGCTCACCAAAGCCATTTTTTCCTGGGTCCCTACAGAAAAACTGTACCTCATATTACTGCCATAAAATAACTCACCAGTACTGTAGAGCTTTATAGGGGAATAAAAAAGCCAAATGAAAACAGCTCATGGACTTAAGATTGCTCACATCTGTATTTCTTTTAACTGATTGAGGCTGCATCCGCAGTGCAGAAAGAACCCAGGGTTGACACCCCTTTAACTGCCATGGCTCAATGCAATGGAATTCTGGGATTTCTAGTTTGTCCTGGCACCAGGCAGAGAGGGTTAAAACTACCGTTCCCAGAATTCCATAGCATTGAGCTATGGCAGTTAAGGTGATGTCAGACTGGATTATTTTTTCAGTGTGGATGCAGCCCAAGCAGACTATGGTCTGGGAAATCTCTTGCCAAGGCCAATTAGCCCAAAGGCACAGCAGCAGTTTTCATTGTCACACTGCTGTTGAATATATAACACACTGCTTTCCTGGTGTTGGCCT